ATACATCAATAAAACGAATGCTAATGCTTTTATTTTCGCTTCAATTATTTAAACCGGGTGCGAAACTTTGGTTAAAAGGAAGTGAAAATTAACACAAAAAAAAAGAAGAAGAAGTTACTCAACCTCCAGGAAGCCTGTGTAAGCCCGGACAGGCAGGTGAAACTTGGATGCATTTGTAATGAGCAGGATGTTGCTGTCTATGTGAATGGAAGGTCGGACCGGCTGGAAGAGCAGAGAAAAGATGTACCGCGACTCGTGCTGGGGGATGACTATAGGCGCGGTGAAGTTGTGCACCTAAAATGAAGGGGGAAATAAGACGCGTCATGTCATTGTCCTATACACACTTTGCACATTTATGGCCCACTGTTTCCACTTACGTTGAACATAGTTTTGGCCTCTTCGGGCAAGGAAACGTTGTGTATTTGGATTGCAAAATTAAAGGCATTTGTCAGGTAGATGGGTTTGTTCACAGGGTCTACAGGACTGTCCCTGATGTGGAACAATGTGGCTGTATGGTCAAATCCCAGGTAGCTGCGTTGAAAAAGGACACGAGTCAAAATCTTGAAAAATGCAATTTTTTTTTTACACATCAAACAAATTTTTATCTCTAGGTCAAAACAACTCACCCCTCTAGAACTTCTGCCTGATAAGGGATTTCAAGTTTGGAGTAGCTCTTCTCTTTTGCTTTCACTGTTATTTTACCAGAAAACTGATATGGCCTTCTTGCTTTTGAAGCTGCATTGAAATAGATAATCAGACCACATTAGAAAAAGCCATACGTGTGGAAACAAAGTGTTCTGAACTAAAAGCAAAGTAACATTTATAAGCCAATTAAGAATTAAAAAAAAAAAAGAAAAAAAAAGTTGTTACGGTTTATATGATTCTTAGTAAGAACTGAAAGTAGAATATTCAAACAGGATGTGGTTAAAAAAATTTTTTTTTTTTTTCATTTCTCTTCCCCTATCTAGACCGTGTTTCACTGAAGGGTGACAGGTAAATTGCATTTTACAATCAAACCGAACAAACTGGGGTTTTTTTTTTTTATCTGGTAAAACCCACCGAGTAAACAAACAGAGTAAACAAAAGTTGATTACAGTAAATGTAAATCTTTTAACTGATGCACGGTTCAAGTCGAGGTGTAGTAGCCGTGACGATTGAGATTTGAATTTGAATTCATCTGAAAGACAACTCACCGTCAAAACTAATACTTGCGACTTTTGTATATCTGCTCTCTCCGGCTTTTAGCGTCACAGCCTTGAAGTCCACCGTGACAGCTTCATTTGAAGGTGTTGTGCGAACACTCTGGGGGGGGGGTAAAAAAAAAACATGGCGCAGAATTAGGCCACAATATTAGTCCGACGGTTTAAAAAGGGGCAAAGACACCTACCGTTATTGGTACATCTTTTGTCCCTGAATTCAATAAGTGTAGATTCAGCAGCTTTGGACGATCTGAATCAAAGATATAATATTAGTTAAAAAAAAAAAAAAAAAAAAAAAAAACGAACTGAAACTGAAAATATGCCACTTTCTTTGTACCTTGTGAACGCAGTGTACCAAAGTCAAGCATCTCTGTTGAGGAGTAAATACCAGGGGCTGAAAAAAAGAGAGGAGAGGTTAAGAGACAGCAAAGGGACGCAACATGAGGATAGAAGACAGACCGTCCTACAGGTCAAACACACCTGAAGTGACCTCTACTTCTACAGGCAGAATGATGAACTGGTCCTCGTTTGGGGCGTTGGTTTTAATCCTGATGAAAGCTGTGTGGTTGTCCGCATCTCGGGACGAGAAGCTCGCCCTCATCACACCCTTTGTCTCAAATGGAGGTATTTCCTACAGAAAAAAAAAAGCCCTGGATTAATAACTCTGTCTTTATTAAAAAAATTTAAAAAAGACAAACACCAGAAACTGACCCATAATAATTAATAACTCTGTCTTTATTAAAAAAAAAAAGACAAACACCTGAAACTGACCCATAATTTTCCAGTGCCTCCCTGTTGCCCAGTGGGAAGTTCAAGATGGAGATCTCCCCCGCTGGAGTACATTTCAACAACCTGGAGGAGGAAAAAAAACCACATTATTCTACAAGTGTACAAAAGAAACATTATCATAAAACCACTTTGTAAACCGACACCAACTCATCAACTTCACCTGCAGCGGTTCACTGTATGGGTTGTGAATATTTATTAGAGGTGAAAAGCTGCTGTTTACTGGCACTCGAGCCCCAATGAACGGCCGCAGTCTGTATGGATTGGGAATACCGACCCCAAACACCTTTGGGATGAGACAAGAAAGGGGGAAAAGGAGGTGAAATATACTACTGAAAACAATTACATCTTTGAAAGGAAGGTCATCTATATCTAAACCTGTACCTGGTATGTAAACATTCCATGATGTGATGTGTTAATAAATAAAGTGTTTTCTACATTTCCAACCACTCGAGCAAGAAATACCACATCGAAGGATGTGTTTCCTCCAGGTGGTATTATCTGTAGAAAAACAGAGAAGAGAAAAGATCAAACTTACTATATATTTTGGAATATATTTTGGTTTTTGTTTAAAAAAAAAAAAACTTAGTTAAATAAACCATCTAAAAGAGCGCATATTTGTTTATGTAGCTTTTAAGCTCTGGTTGGCCACTTAAGTGGACTGGAAGGGCAATGTCAAGCCTGCGGGCCTCGAGTTTGAACATGTGACGCATGAGACGCACAGGCCGCCATTAAATATCCACAAAAACGTTATGAGGCACAGGGATACAGAAAAGCAGTGATAGAATCCACCCGCCACTAGGTGTCACTCTGGTGCGCTGAGCATGGCACCATCGGCGCCTAACTGCTCCCCAGGCGCTCGGCTCGTGCTACTCTCTGCTCGCTAAGCTAATGGGTTAAAGGCAGAGGTCACGTTTCGTGGTGTGCTGTGTCACAATGACAATAAATCACTTTCCGCTTTCAGATACTCAGAATTGGTATCGTTCCGATATTGGTCAAAATTTTAGGATCGAACCTTGGAAAAAAAACAAAAACATTTATAGCACGTCCAAACCCGATACTTGAGCCCAAATGTTCAACTTCACTTTACATGACAACGTAAACAGGGAATGTTCAACTTCACTTTACATGACAACAGTCGTAAAGAGGAACACTATGGCCTCAGCAAGTCTGCGGTATGCTGGAGGACAAAAAAGGAGGTATCGGAGTCGCAGTATTGCTATCAGATATGCAAAAAGTTGTAAGGAGCCTCGTGTTTTTGTAGGTTATTTGAGATATATATGCAATAGGTTTTGTTGTGTTCTGTTGTGTTCATTCACAGCATATCACTTATAATTAATAATAATTCTATCGATAAGCATGTTTATATTGCAATTAACAACTCGCAAACAATTCTCTAAACCTACACGTTGACAGAGCTAATTTTTTACGACCGCTAGTCATTTACATTTCTCCATGTTCACCTCGAGGCAAACACACATCGTTAGCAAATAAAGTCTAGTTGTTTGTCAGGTTCAAAGCCCTTAGGAACGGTCACCACCATAATTTACACAACCATTATTATAGGTTAACATGCTTGCTTAAACCACTGCCTCAGTTAACCTCGGTACAACACAATCACTATAGCTTTGGCTTAAAGTGACAGAGCCGGCTCCACCTGTAAAAGGAGTGTCCACCTCAGGCGAGGAGGTAGGGTTTCTTTGCCAATGACTTCATGAGCGAAAAAAAAAAACATGTGACACCCTAGAAGCGCACACTGTATTGACTCAAACAAAAGAAACACGATTTGTGTCCTCGGGCCTTCACTTTGGCGCAGAACACGCTTGGATTATTTCTTTTAATAAATATCCAACACAGCCATCTTCAATACTAAATTCTACTACAATAAAACCCCAAAGAACGTGTCACCTGGTAAACAGTAAAGACAGACAGCAGTTGATCATTTATTACAATTACCTCCACTATCTTATCAACGACGACCAACGTGCGATTCCAAAGTGAGCGACATGTTTTGAAAGCAAAAAAGCAAAAAAAAAAAAAAACATTCGAGTACTTACCCTATTTTGAAAAAAGGATGCGTGGAAATGTGCGGTTGTCGCTGATATTGATATCAAACTTATTTCTTCTGAGCTAGGATTATGTAAATAAACTTTTTCCATTTTTGGCATTCCAACTGGTCTGTGAAAGAGAGGGATACAAAACAAAAAAAAAAGAGTAAGTATTCAACGACATGGTTGAAAACAAACCATGAACCACCACAAAAATAATGTTTTTCAAATTGATGAATTTATAACAATAACAATGGGCTGTTAAATTTAAACAATTGATCCTATTGATGTGCGAAATTAATCCGAATTTGACGTCGTATTTTAACACGAGGGCAATTACCGTTGCTCTTAATATACACTTGATACACACCGAGGGAAAAAGGTTTTTGTTTCACCCAAGCGACTCAGGTTTAAAATATCCTCTCATAGCCCAGCGTGTGTTTGTAGGGGATTCATTTTAACATTTATTTTCATTTTTTACTTTTAAACCACATAATCAACCAAATCAGTAGCACGTCATACATCCTTTAATTACAACCCAGCACCAGAGGAATTCCGGTACAAACTATGCCAGGTCAGAAAACAAGGATCAATGTGAACCCCAGCAGCGGTGTAAAAATATATTATATATATATATAAGTGCATTCCATTTGCGACTCGAGGACTTTTGACCTTTGTGTTGATGTGGGTAAGATTTGTCACATCTGTCAAACTTAAGTGTCGGTGTTGTGGGTGTATATACCCGTTGTGCTTTAATTTTGGTCAACAAAACACGAAAGCTATACAAACCACTCACTGTTCGTGAAAGTCCAACATTGGAGGTTCAAATCGTATAGGTCGGCAGTTCCCACGATGCGGGGATGTGCTGCTGGAGACAAATCATGTATCGGAGTCAGCAGAGGGCTTAACGGTCGCGTCCACAGTCATGTGCAGTTGTAGCGATGAGGCCGTTTGTGAGATTGATAGACAGGAAACAATATTAAACCGGATGTGTGTCGTCACCACCACAAATCACCGACTTGTGAGCATCAGTACGCTACACCTGCTGCAGAACACAAAGCTCAACTCAACAAACTAGTTCGACAACAGCTGTAGCCTGACAACCCAACTGGTTTCAACAGTGTTTGTTTTTTTTTTTTTATTTGGACAAGCAGCGATGCATCAAAACGCAACAAAAGACTTGTTCATGGGCTATGACTGTGCTTTGTGTCACACAATGACTCTACGCCCTTTTTTCTAAGAAGATACATATAAATGAGATACAATTTGTTTAGATCATTATAACCAGTTTAACCAAGCCTACGTCTGTACAACCAGACGATGGTAGAGCTCCCATCATAAAGGTATTCCCATCACCTAAGGCGGGAGTTAGGTGATGGCCGTTGCAAATCATGTTCCAAACCATTATACAGTAGAGACATATGTGGCCTAACAAATTGCAAATGAGCTATCCTTTCAAGTCTCATTACCGTGAAAAACATATGTATAAACTGATCATGTTCCATTTTATCATAAGAATTCGGCATTGTTTTATTTTGACAATCAGGTATGATTAACATTATAGCTACAATAGAGCAAACAGCTGCCCCTACTAAACAATAAACCAAGTAGGGCTGCAGTCAGCCCATCTTTTATTAATAAAACATGTACAGACAAAATGTTTGTTGGCTTGAGAACTGACATGATTTACTAACTTTGAATTCTACGTTTGGCTAAACCAATGGGGATTTTTTTTTTCTGCTGTTCTGGCCTTAGGATCTACGTTTTGAGGATATCGTACAATCAGTGGACATTTGGTGCAAAAGTGATTAAAATCAATACCCAAAAAGAGGAAATGACGCTATCGACTGCAGTTAAAATGCAGGCCATATCCACCAGCATACAGGCTAAATCAGATAACTGTAAAAAGCATAACATCTTCTAGCCAGTCTGGATGTTTTTTACCATTTCACCAAAGACAACAACACCGTTACATTTTATGGATTATCAGACTTGATTTACTAAACTGTTTACTAACTATATTATTTATGTTGATCTTAAATTCTGTTGTTATTGGGTTTTTTTTAGATCATTTGTTTAACGTACAAGTGATGGATGCTGATTCATTAGGCAGACGAATTTTGTATCAATTCATTAAATGTAATACATTGTTTCTCAAAGTAGAGTTTTTGTTGTATGCATGCGACAGGATAGAGAGGGGAAAATGAACAAGTACGTGTCTGAGAAGGATTTATATTTGGTGTTAATGTTATTGTTGTGTCTCATTTATGACGAAACCTTTTATAAAAAAAAAAAACAGTCTCATCATGGCGGCATCAAACACCTCAAATTCTACTACAAAAACAGAAGGGTATCTCGAAAGTTGAATTCAAACTTACCTTTGTTGATGATATAAACTAAAATCAATGTCAGACTCTGCCTGCAAAACAAAAGACAAAAACGATTGATTTCTGCCTGCAAAACAAAAGACAAAAACAATTGATTGCAAAACATTTTTTCTAAAAAAAAAGTTTTAATAATAATAATAATCCTATTGACAGACTTTAGCTCAACAGTGTTTGTCATTAACATGAGCAAACGTGTAAAACTTACCTGTAAAAGACTACCTTCACCGAAATGAAGAACTTCTAAAATTGTGTCTGACTGAATGAAAGCTGTAAAAAAAACAAGAGAAGAAAACACACTAAGTTCTATTGAAGGCATTTACAGAACTGTTCAGTTGATGGTTCAGTGCAAAAAAATATAAAATGATACTTTCACATCATACTTGGCTGAAAAACATTTCTAAAGGGCACAGGTTGAATTCAATGAGGCAAGTGTCATTTCCTGTTCCTGACTACGATTCTTGCCTGTTGATTCCAGTTTCCGCCTCTACAGCTGCTTGCTGCTTGCTTTTAATAAAAACTGACTTCGTTCTGACCTGCTATTGGGTGCTTTCCATACCCGTAACAGTACAATCTGGTCATCTCGAGACCATCAAGGATGTTCTGCAACACCATGAGGCCTTCCTGATGACGTCTGCTGCTGAAGCCAGACAAGCTGCTGAGACAATCATCGGGTGCTAACGGCTTTAACCACACAGATACAACCAGCTAGCAGCCTGTTACTCCGAGCTAGCTTCATCCGCTACGTCTATCCCCTACTCTGACGTGTCGGCTTCTTGGTTTCTTGGTGTTCAAAAAAAATATGTGGTCGCTTCCTCACAACTGCTACCTTCTCTTAAAGATAACTTTCGTCATCAACCACCTGACGGGCAGAGCTCGACTATGGGGAACAGCTGAGTGGGAGAGACCTTTGACCTGTTTGCTGCAGAACTTCGCAAGGTTTTTTTTTTGGTTTAGAGAGCTGTAGTTCAGAGTCAAGACAGGGACTGATGGGACTAAAACAAGGCGAGCATACGATGGCGGATTACTTCATTGATTTCTGGACCAGAGGCTGGTCAAAGCCAATGGAACAGCTCAGCCTTCTGTGACACCTTTCTCCATGGTTTGACTATATAAAGGATGAACTGGTTTCTTATGATACGCCCACAACTTTGGATGGTGTCACTGAGTTGGCTAGTCGAGAGAAGCATTTTGTTCCTAAAAACCCAAACAGCTTCAGCATTTCCTGGGGTTTGCCAACTTCTATCGTCACATCGTCCGCAAATACTCTGTGGCAGCTACCCTCACTGCCCTGACCTTCTCGAAGGAGCCTTTCCTGTGGTCTCCTTCAGGTGAGGCAGCTTCGCCTCATCACCAATCCTCCAGACGCCTGACCCGGACCGGCCAATTTGTGGTCGAGGTGGCTCGTATGATGTTGGGCTGAGGGAGTCTAGCTTGTAGGATCTTGTTTACATAGTAACGGTTGATAGGACGTAAGACTGGACAATGACCATTTACGGGCGGGGTTTTGCTTTTGTTATGACTAAAAGGGAGTGAGCAACTGACGTTTACAATAATAGAAGTAACAATAAAGACTGCCTTAATACATGATAAAATAATTGTCGTACACGATAGAAACGCATGAAGTTGCCCGGCCCTAGTACTAACAGAAAAAATAAAAATGGGTGTGTTTACAGACCGCATTCAGGTTACTTTTAACTCTGTACTCTGTAAACACTGCTTATCTGCTTATCTGATGGGGATTTGGTTATTGAAATAGTATCATGATCAACTTGAAAGTGCATTATTCAGCTGCCAGTCACAGCTGCCTATTCAACTCATCATGCTGTGTCAGGAAGGCTGGTCTACAACACCACACTTTGTGTAGCATGTGCAACTAAATTGCAACATTGTTCTGCTAAAATATATATATATATATACATGAATGGTCACAGAAAAGACGATAATAAGGGAGAAACATTTTTTGGATATTTCGAATTTCAACATAACACGTTTATTGAGATCTGTTACATTGTAGCTACAATCATATCGCTGGCTTTTGCACCTTTCATTGCTGAGAATCTGTATTGTCCGTTGATAAACTAATCTCAACACAGAACACGCTAATCTTTTTGTAGATTGCTGGTTAACTTGGGACCATCGTTGACAAACTTTCTGGAAAAAAAAAAGAAGTATGGTACAGTCCTGTAAAGCATATTCTGATAGTATGATGTTTTGAAACAGGGCTCAAAAGTTGAGTTCAAAAGTTTAAATCACTAGCCATTTCACAGTATGAGTAACAATACCAGGTCTAAATGTGATTTCATCCCAATTCTTGTGAAGGCCCCTCCCTACCCCAAGTAGCTGAAATAGGGAGGGGCAATAAAGGAAGTTGAGAATCATACCATTTTGTTTTTCAGAGTCAGAAAAGCGAGAAAAACACGGGTCACGGACAGCAGCGTCGAAGGGCAGCACAGCTGTTATTTAAACGTGTTTGCATTGCTAATTACAGTGCATGCTACAATTGCATGAATTTTTAAAGGCACAAAACGTGCTGGTGGAAGACGGAAATAAAACCACAACTGATCTCATCTTACACATCCCTCTAGGCTATTGACACGAGGACAAAAATGCTTTAACCAGTGAAACCGCCATTAAAGGTGACTCGTCTGAAGAAAAAAAAAAGTCTGCTTAAGAAAAAGGTTTCACCCCAAATAGAAAAAAATTAAAAATTAACCAAAATCATTGAAACTTACAAGGTTTGTTTAAACTATGTTTGGGTTATTGATGTTCCAGTACATGTGTTTCATACTGTATGTACTTGTGTTTTAACGTGTGTTTGAGGCTGCGTGGAAAGCGAGCACATGCAGTATTTTCCTGCTAATAAAAATCTAATTTAAACTAACACAGAGTTTTGCCATCTCTCAGAATATGGTCAAAGCCAAACAGACTCACGTGGAGCACCGTTCGAGCGCCACGGACCTTTGGTCTAGCGGCTAGACCAAAGGTCTGTAGCACTATAGACTGATTGTGTGGCCAAAGTCCAGCGAGAGGTTTCACTGTGTGTTTTAATTTCTTGGGACAGTAATTTAATTGAAATAATTACAAGACATATTGTCTCGTCAATGTCCTGTCACTGTGGCACAGCATATTTTTCTTTTAAAATCACGCATCTCTTTTCTCCATTCTGTATTACTCTAAATTGAATGTGCCTACTTATTGCACTAATTTGTACTTGTGTGGATAAAACAACATCTTAATGAACAAATTCATAACATCTGTGATGAGCTTGTAGCTGGAACTGATCCCTTCATGTTTCCATAACAGTGATGAATGACAGTGAATGTGCTCATTTTGCTTTGCTTCTGCTCTCTTTTGTAGAGTTAGCATTCCATTGCATTTCAACATGCGCAGGAATTCAAGACTCACAACTCTTACACTAACATCTTATGGAATTGTTTGGTTAAATCAGGTCTGGTGCATCCAGTGTCAATATATCAAATATATGATAAAAACAAGTCTGACACTGTTCACTAAGGTTTGCAATGTTGCACAAATGTGTAACTTAACCCCACAGGCCAAAATAAACAAAAAATAACATATTTAAATGGCTTTAGCTTTAACTCTGCGCAGCTCGCTTTGCACATTGCGACCCACGGTTAGCCAGTAAATGGCTTAGGACAAAGGTGGCAAATGTCTGGCACATCCTTGCTAGCACTGCCAGCACAACTACAAGTTCATTATTGCCAGCACTAGAGGTGAATTACTGCTAGCACAATTTCTACACAATTACACTCAGACATCCCTGTCTAAAACATAATTTGTAATCTGACATTCAGTGTGTTACTGCTACTTACTATGATATTATTGACACCGCATTACTGCCAGCGTAAGCGACAGATTACTGCACGTGCATTACTACTGCAAATACTGATTGCACTGCAAACAAACTGTTGCACGGAACGCTACTGTGGCAATGCAGATCACATCATTTTATTTCTGTAAAATAGTCGCAAGTTGTTTATTGCTAGAACGTTGCACGTTAAATTCATCAAAGATTTCTCTGGCGTTTCAAATATAGTCTGTCCTTTAGAAACAAATTCATGAGTAGAAAATAAAATAACATTCCAAACAAACAAAAAGTTAGGCAGTTCAGAACTGCGTGTTAAATCCTGCGTGTTGACTGACACTAACATAGGCAAGTACTAAAAACATTACCTTACACAATACATAACCATATATTCCAATCCAGGTGGAGGCCAAATTAATATTTATGTATTTATGTATACAGCTCAGTGGAGGCCAAATTAATATTTATGTATTCAATAGCTCAATAACTACACCATCCATTCCAAACAGATGTGAGAAACTCTGTATAACAATTGCAAGTGTTTTTGATTTCCTTTTGGCTAGAAAGTACCCTGCAACAACTGCCTTAAAACATATGTGTATATATATAACTTCTAAATCTCTCATGATATTAAACGGTATATATCAAATACATAGATCGACTAGAATGCACAATTTGTACCAATTTCCCTTTTTAGCCAGTGTCAGCCTGGTGACTTTATAAGCGAAACAACTCAAAAGGGCCGTTTAGTACAGCTTACTTGCATCTCTTTTTTTTTAAACTAAGCAACAGATAAAAGAGTCAAGCGTCAGCAAGGACTGATTGGTTAAGGTAGCAGGTGTCATTGCCTTGATTATATCTGACAAAGGGAAAAATGCAAAAACCATTGGGTTAGAGTTAGCCACTGCTTTTGCTTGCCTGATGAGAAATGGAAATTGACTAATTTATGAAGGAGTATATACTTTTCTGGCAAAACTTTAAACAAATGTATACACCATAGGGAAATGTTTTTCATTTATATTAGGTGAGAACAAGTGGAGAAAGGGAACATAGTATTCTCAGGGGTGTATCAAGTTCACTAGTTAGATTAGACATAATAGTTGTCAACCGCTAAATCCATTTCAGGGTCGCCTGGAACAGCAGTCCAATCTCAGTAGTCAGTGGAGCAATGGCAGGCTGCACCCTGCACAGTTTGAAAACCTATTGTGAGACCACATAAAAACACCAACAAACAAGTACATACCATATAGGGAAATAAAAAGACATGAATTGTCATAAACTGTCCAAAATGTAGAGCTTAAATCAGACAGCTGCAGCTGGTGGTGGAAACCAAAGATTCTAATTAATTAATTTACAACTTGCAGTTGCATTCGAAATTACACCAAGAATTCTTCCTTAGTTTTGCTGGCTGCAACAGGCCTAGGGAACGACTACATCCATTGCAAAACAGCTGACACGTACCCTGTTTTCTACACACAATAACACGACTTTAAAAACTGACATGACAGGTGGATTTGACAGCTGAAAACATCAGGCTGCTTCACAAACGTGGCTGATGGGATGTTATGCTCGAGGCAATTAAGGGTCAAAGCCAAACTCTCAGCCACGTTTACAAGCTGTCATCAGACTACAACATAGCATCCAGCGCAGTCTTCCTGCCTGCGACAATGTTGACAATATTGTTGTCAATACGTCATCTTTTAGTTTTATCGCAAAGAGATCACACCAGTACGTGGTGCAAGCTAACTTTCTCACAGTATCGCAAAGAGATCACACCAGTACGTGATGCAAGCTAACTTTCTCACAGACTGTGGTGTTTACTGACACTTCCTGTCCCCTGTCTTTGCCATTTGCTGACTTTACTCAGGTGAAGTGTTAGCCCATCTAGCCCAATGAGGAAGGGATAAAATGACATGACAAACAGCGAGAAATTCCACTAGTACACACTGTTCAACGTTAAAGGCCATGAGCAGCTAAAGTCCCTGTAGCATTTCAGTGAAAACAGAGCTTAACTAGTTACACTGTTAGTCCACTCCAGGGTTCTGCTAGTGAGCAGCAAAACAGACAAGTAATTTAAAGTAGCGGCGCAGCTAACATTAGCCAGGTTAGCTGCTCTAAAGTTGGCCCGTAGAGGAAGAAGGTAGTAAAGACACTTGGTGGAAATGTCTGCGGAAGTTAGCGCCAGCTAGCGCAGGACGTCGTCAGCCAAGTTACAAACCTTGCTTATTTGCCCGCGCCGTGTGGATAAAAGCAATAAATAATATCCTCAATAATCCGATACATGGCGATCTTGTTCTTGTGTGAGAGGGACGAATACACTGGCTTCTTCCTTCACTCTCCATGCTGCAAATTCGTCCGTTAGGAAAACAACCGAGCAAGTGAGCGGACATGCCCGTATAAACCTCTGCTGACTCTGTCAATCATAGCCTCAAAAGAAAAAAAAACTCCACTCCGGTGTGAGCAGCGGCTGCTGCTGCTAACAGGACCTTGCTCCTCTTCCTGCTCTTTTTTTCTGTGTGACGTTGCACCGTCTCTCTGCTGCCACTTAGTGACGTGGAGGCAGCAGACACCTTTGAAGTGTGTGTCTATATATGGCACAAAATATTAATTTCCAATATATATATATCTATGTAAATACAAATATACATGTAGGGCAACGATAACTATATAATCAGAATCAAAATGTGTTAATTGACACGTATTAAAATAAAATATAGTCAAAAAATGATAAATCAGAATCAAAATGTGTTAATTGACAAGTCAATTTATTAAAATAAAATATATTCCAAAAAATGATGAATAATATATAAAGATCTATATAGATATATAATGTTTATCTAAGAACTCTCCCATCTCCCATCCATTTTCTCATTCATTCACCTATCCTTGCTCTAAGACACAGTCAACCCACACATTTTTCAATGTATCTCTTTAAAATAACACAAAATAAATTTGACAAAACTTTAATTACTTCTGATAGCAGCTTTTCCTTTTGTAAGGCAGAAGAACACGTTGCAACTGGTGGTATTTTTGAGGTATTTCTTGCCTTTGTAACCTTGGTTTCGACACCTTGCTGCATGTTTGCAGTCAACCATGTGTGGCATGTGCCTAACCCCATATTGTTATATTTATGCTTCTGGTTGTGGAATCCTCTTTTAGGCTCTCCTGAAACTGTTCGGTGTCTTTTGCTGATTAAGCGTTATGCTATCATATTTGTACGGCATTCTGGAATTTGTAATGGAAACATTAAAGAAGCAATTAGAACTTTTCCTTTTTTATTTCTGCCTGCTAAGCCCAGCAGGCGGTCATATAAACAAAAATCAAGCTTGTGTTTGTGAGGTAAAAAGAAGTTGCACAAATTCCAGTGAATACAATTTAGTTGGAATCTCGCATGACTAAGCCTTCATATCTCTTAATCTTGTGTTAAGAGAAAACACAAAATTGGCTCGAATCCAATCGCTATTCCTCTGAATTTGTTTAAAAAGGCGTGTCATTGTTACATCATGATAATGTAACATGGATATACCAATATAAACTCTCAAAAACACAATTCAATCAAAACAATAGAATATCCTTTTCTAACATTTCAACAATAATTATAATAAACAACTTTTACTTAAAAGATCCATCCATCCATAATTATAATAAACAACTTTTACTTAAAGCTTCTGAAAAGATCCATACAGTAAACTTGTTATATATTCATACGTGGTTGCAATAATGTTAGGCTAACAAATGACTAACCCACTGGTCTGTAGAGATCATGATATAGACATTTATGATCGTCCGTCACTTCGAGTTTATGTTTTTATTACAGCTGCTAATGCTAAGACCCCTTTTGAAGGTCAAAGTCCACAGCCGTCTGCAGTGCTGTTTCAAAAGTCTACTATAAAACCTATTTTGTTATCACCATTAGATTTATACACAAAATGAACACTTTGAGTTTTGGTGTTATTTCTATTAGGGAAACGTCTTCTTTCTCTATGTAAATTTGTATTAACCCTTTGGGTCTAGGTGACCTGGTGGCTGATAATATGACTTTGTGTGTGTGTGTGTGTGTGTGTGTGTGCAAACCTGTTGCGTGTTAAAAACCTTATCTTAGCTATGTAAAGTCAAACATTTGGAAGTATCCAAATTTCAAATGGTGCACAAATGTCAATGGACAACCGAAAGTCTCTTTTCCCCAAGGTCAATATTTTTGCGAGGTCTAAAAGGTCACTCAGAGGACGTTTTAGGGACACTTCATTCGATAAACAGATACAGGGGAAAAATCCAATCTGTTGATTTAGATTCTAAGAAGTTCTAAGATAAGTCACAAATTGTATTTTTACAAGTTGGGATTGAATTGCAAGTGTTTCAACTTTAAATGGTATTGTGAGTGGGTTTTAAACAAAAATTTAAGTTGGCAGTACTTTACATTCCTTTTTTTTTTTTTTTTGCATTTATATTCGGATTTAAAAAAAAAGACCAAAAACTCAGGTTGTCCAAATTATACATGCTTTACATTCTGCCTCTGTGTTATTATCTATTGAAAGGCATCTAAAATTGTAGTACTTTTACAGCGGTCTGTTCCCTGTCTAGCCCCCCCTCCCACTCCCCCAAGTTCCTTTGAATACTGTGGAGAAATCAGCCTACATTTTGTGTGGCATGAATGTTTTAAACTGAGTGTCACACACTAATCACCTACTAAACTCAAAACACCTGCACAGGTTTCCCCAGGTGTCATTAATTGCTTCAGTTGCTTCAGTGGTTCAATTGTCTCAGTTCAGTTCAATATGGGGAAGACTGCAGACTTGAACTGAATTTCTTTCTTTTTTATCATCTGCAAAAATTGTGATTTCTCCAAAATATTTTAATTTTTTGAAATTCCTGTTTCCGTGGGTTTCAAGAGCTATAAGCCCAAATTATGTAAAAATAAATTTAAAAAAAACACTTGAAATCGTTTAAATTATGGGCCCTGAATCTATAATCTATGAAAGTTTAACTTTTTGAATGGAATGATGGAAATAAATAAACTTTTTCATGGTATTCTAAGTTTTTGGATATGGTCTGTACTGTACATGTAATATGCCTCCCCCAAACAGTACATCGGCGCCCTCTGATGGGTATAATAGGTATTAAAGATTTCCTCCGATTGAAATCATAAAGGTAATTTTCTTCTAACCTTTATGACACCACATTATGATTACACTATGTAATCGTACAATGCTTTTGAAAGCCTCTATCTATTTAACACTTAACTTATTTTTCCTATTAAAACACCATTACATACGGATATTATTGAGACTGATTTGACTCAACTGAAACTAATGATTGTTTTGTTTGTATCAACTGTGACACTATGTGTAGAAGAAGAGGAATTCTTACATTCTTACATTCACGGGAGGTCCAGTACATAACACACCCACAGATACATAAAAACTGAGAACTTAATGACTTCAGAAGAAGGGCCAATCAGCAGAGGCAATTACCATACAAATGTGAAGTCAAACAACACACTTGTTTCGTCAAGTGATTGGCAATAGCATAGCTGATTAATGTTAAAATGACTTCAACATTAAAGGATTTAAAAAATGAAAACAAAAGAAGCAGCAAAAAGACAAAGGCAAAGGAGGCACGAATGTACTGACATGTTCTGTTTGTTTCTGTCCAATACTCCTTAAATGCTCTTGAGGTTGCCATAACAACACTGTGTGCTGGCAAGGTATAAATCCTTCCCATTCTGATGAAGTATAGCTAATCATCTGGAGCAGCTGATGAACACAACACTAAACTCATCAACACAAGAGTCCTACAGTCCTGGCTTCTTAGGCATGCATGAGGGCCTGGTTTTGTTATACCTATATGTTTTGCTGGCTTCTTAGGCATGCATGAGGGCCTAATTTAACACTGTGTTATACCTATATGTTTTACTGTTGTTTTATTGGGATTTTTTTTTTTTTTTGCAACTTAAAAAAAAATTAAATCTTGGATTTTTTGCATGAAGTTTGCCATTTTGTACATTATTGTCTTGTCCTAATAATTAGATTAATAATAAAGAATACTTTTAGCATCTCTAATTGCTTCAAAATGCAGTGTAAACAAACTCAAAATCCACTGCAGATAAATCATTAAATCACTTTCAACTGCATCACAGACTTAATGTGTGTTGGACATGGTCCTGGTCAAATGTCCCTCTTCCCTCTCACTGATTTTGACAGGCCACTGCTTAGTCAGCCATCAAATAATGCAGTATGTTTGTTTATTGTGGAATGGCTGACGGGTAAAGATGGTGACGACCTGGATTTACGCTAACTCAGCCGGCAAGCTGTTGATGGTGTTTCTCTGTGTAAAGGTGCACTTTGGAGAAGAGCTAGGGTTTAGGATGTGGTAATTAGCATGTGCCTTCTGGCAAAGATGTAAAGAAGCTTTCAGCGGATCTCTATGCACCTGGAGTCGCTTCTAAACCTAATGAGGATTACACAATTGGAGAGTAATACACAAAAAAACAACCCTGTTTTTAACTCCTGTCTTACCACTACAAAATCGAGGCAAAGAAAGAAAATTGATAGACGATGATCATATTTTAATTTCACTCAGATCCTTAAATTCAGACATTCTTGGACAAGGTATTTCTGACTTGAATGTCTTTTCACCACACTCATTTTCTTTTAATCTACTGTGTTGACTTTCTTTAGGTTTTAAAATCACATGATAGTTTCTATATGAATGAACTTCTTACAACTGCTTTTTAAGAAAATTGCTCAAATTACGGAATTCACCTTTATTTCAACAGATACATGCAATGTCGTACTTGTCAAATTATTCAGAGTGAGGGAAACATTGTTTATTAAAACAACACGTTGTTTGAAGTGAAGGGGCATTACATGGCTGAAATAGGTTCTCAAGTCTAAGATGGGATTAGCAGCGCGGCCTCTATATTTTGCCAAGGGGATTTCTCTTTTAACCTTACGCCTTAAGGTAATGTTGAAAGTAGGCATGGCCACACTGTGCTAGTGAGCTTATGTCCGCGGGCTCTCCCACACTCACCCTGAACCAGCAGTTGAATCATAACACACCTCAATGAGACTATTCACAGAAGCCAGCAGGGATTTATATCTTTCCCAAAATCTAATTAACTATCGATATTATCTCTTTTCATTCCAAACAACAATATACAGATCAGCAAAGCAACATGCTAAAAATGTTGACATTCTGAGAAGCTGTTACTAATATAATCTCTGTCACTTTCCTCCATCTGCTTGAGTGCACCAACGTTTTTTATATCAAGGACCGGCTGGCCGGTATCAGCCTGCACCAACGTTTTTTATATCAAGGACCTGCTGGCCGGTATCAGCCATTAATTAATGCGGTCTGGTAAAATGGCGCCATTTTTGAAGGATCATTAAATGTTCTAAATGAAACACCTTTCAGACTTTATTCTGTTAGTCACAGAGTCACAGAGTCTGAATGACCTGTTGCTTTGAAACATTGCCAGATTATCTTTTAATGAAAAAGTAATATATATATATGACTGGAATCTTTTTGGATAAAGTCAATTAGTAAAACTGAATGTACTGAAGTACATTGAAGTACACACTGTGTCACACTGTGGTCCGGTATCCCTGCTTTAGTGTGTTTGGCACAAGTCAAAGCAACTCACATGGATGGCAAGAAACCAAGACATCACACTGTCTCCGCTGATTTACCATCTGACGGTAATTCCTTGCACTGTGTTACTCAACGAAAAGGATCCTTTAATCCAGTGGTGCTTAACCACGGTCGGGGAATAGTAAAAGGCTGTCGACCATTTTGAACTGGGCTTAAAGGAGTTAATTAAACGTTTTTTGTTTGTTTTTTATTTTAAATTTACATTGTATTTTTAATTCGTGTTCATGCCCTAATGCCTTGAATGAAGAAGGTGAAGATTTTACTAACCGTTTAACTTGTTTTCTGTAATGTTCTTTTCGGTTGCGGTGCCTGGGACGATGTAATGGACTGAGATGGACAGCACTCCTCCCCCTGACTGATCTGGGATCTGTCTTGTCTACAATGTTCTAGAAAAGAGACGCTAGAAAATTCTAGAAAATTAGTGGCACTTATTATGACCAGCGTACATCGATGTTTTTGGTAATAAACCTGGGACTGAGCGGGATTTTACAAAGAGAATACATTTTACCCTTCTGCACTAAAAATGGAAATATTTAGAGGAAGCCAGAGGACAACTGCTATCCTGTTTGTCTCGGATAATTAAGAGTGAAGAGGCTTCGGCAGGTAAGCTGAGATATCGCTTCGACTCATGCGTAAAATACATTAGAATAAATATTTTAAATACCACATTTTAGTATAGCTAGATAGTTTCTTACATGTATTGTTATTATTTCTTTATTATTGTTGTCATAATTAAAATATCGTTATAATTAGTACTGGTATTTGTAGTAAAACATTTTAAACTGCCCAATTTTTGAGGCATTCAAGGAACGTTGGAAAGGTTTTACTGGTTTATTCACGAAAAACAGTGTAATGTGAATCCTTCCATTCGATTTAAATAAATTATTTAATTTATTGATAATTATTAAAATATAAAATAATACTTGATTTAATGCTTCATATTTAATGAAGACATTTAGAAGGAATAAAATTAAAAACATGTTTCATTAACAAGAAGACATGAAACAAAAGAACAGTCTGCATGTCATTTACATTCACAACATTTACTATTGTATCCTAATTTAGGACATAAATGAAGAATCCCATGTGCCTCAATCCCATGTGCCTCCATCTCAGCTTAGGTCTTAAGCTGAGATGGAGAGACGTGGGCTTCTCCATGTTAAGTACGTACAACTTGACCACAGGTGCCAAGCTTCTTAGTGAGTCTTGACCTATGATTGCTGCAGAGAATATAATCCCCAGAAATAAATATGAAACATCTTCTAAAATCTGTCCTTTATATAAGGGGCCCCAACCCCTGGTCTGCAGACTGGTATTGGTCTGTAGGTCATTTGGTGTGGGGCCACAGTGGGCTGCAGTGAAAAATTGATTATTTTACTAAATTAACATATTACATATTGGCTTAATCTGTGTGTACAGGGGTTCCTCAGTTTACGATGTCCTCGATTTAGGGCAGGTTATGCCCCATCTCCCGTAAATTTATTTAAAAAGTATTTTTCCATCATTACAACGTACAGTGCCGAAACAAATCTCGCAAAGGAACAAGTTGGTGAGCAGGTCATCTCTGCGCGGCACTTTACGTGGAAGATGGCTTTGTTTACATTCGCGGGTTGTACGCCATAGATTGGATTTGCTGTCTTCTGATTTTTTCAGAACTGTTTGCCCCTCATTGTGGCTCCCAGGCATAAGTCAGACTTCTGGTGTTTTTATGTCCTAGATGATGATGTTACCACTGTTTCAGTGTAGTAACTGGCATAGGTATTTATGCACAGCATGCAAGTTACAACTTACAGCAACAAGTGAGTTACACAGCACCCCTATAGTTGTGTCCATGTTATAATCCATCCTTTTTTTTCCAGTTACCAATAAGTCATTTTTTTTAACCAACAAATGAAACTATTATCTAACAGGTGCTTTAAAACAGTCTGAACTATACAAAATAATTACGGTAGTCCTACTATACTAAAAATATTCTGTTAAATGCCAATGGACCCAGTAATGTGAAAAAGTATGCGTTAGAAATCACATACACAGCTCTTTAATTCAGTGTGTTTCCAACATGGTGTTGAAGCAGAACCGCCATGGTTTTGCATTACACAAACAAGACACCAAGGCCGTTTGCAAGACATGAAGAACTTTGATCACGACAAAGCAGGGAAATACCTCCATATTACACAAAAATGTAGCCACACAGTGTACAATTGATTTGTTGTCTTTCATACACTTCATAGTGGTGGTGCTATTGACTCAGGTTAGAGCTTGCCACATGACATTCTGTGTCTTGAATCCAGGATGAAGTTCAGGGAAACATTTAATGCTTCCAGGTCCTGTAATTTATGAACAATGTTTCCTGCTCCTGGGGCAGGTGCAGGTTTCTTTTACTTAACTTTACTCTTAATATATTGTCTATTCACAATAGTTGATAATTGCAGGTATATTTTATGTTAACATCCTAATTTTTGCAGGGAAATGCCATATTTAGATTTGTTCAAGTTACTTGCCAAATATTATATTAGTATAGTCATATTATATTAGTATATTTAACATGAAAGAGTTTCAAACAATAAGAAAGTATATAAAGATTTTCTTTTCTAACTTAGTCAGTGAATGAGTTGATAAAATATTAATAAATGATAATGATAATGGAACCAGAATCACTAACTTCTTATATGTCCCTATTACTAGCAACAGTTTTTTAAGACAGGCAGTCCTATCAACAGAATGGCATTGGGTTGTTCTAAACATTTTTTAAATATTACACTTTCTCACAATGGTGGGGCTCAAAAGCAAAAACTGTCAGCCTCAGAAAAAAAAAAAAGACAAAATAAAACAGAAGTATATAAAATAATGCTGGAATTGGTAGAACTTTGAAGTTCGAAATATCTGTTTGTGTACAAACAGGAACAAGTAGAAACATTGGGGAAATCCCAAAAATGGATGTGAATATGGACAGAATCAAGGAAGACAGAATGAGGGGCGAAGTTCTAAAAAACAACAGACACAGTAGAATAGACAGAACAGAAGAAATGAATCAGATGGTGTTCTGTATTTTAACTCAGGTCCTAAGAAATTCCCTGCTGTGGGAACTCTTGTGTATCTCTTGTAAAATCTCTAAATAGACTCGAACCTATGTTATAGCTTAGGCTGATGATTCACTGGGAGAGACCACTGATCCTGTTTAGTGTTAAGGACATAATGAGTGCATATATATTTAGACGCCTCTCCCAGACTGTGAAAAGTCAGCAACAGGATAAAATAAGTCAACAGTGCCATCAGTGGAACAGGCCAGTAGAAGGGAGTAAGTAGAAAAGAATCACAGAAACATGACTTTGGTCAATCATTTTAATCTTAATCTAGTTTTTCTCCCATGGACTAGTTTGTTTTAAAATGTTCGGCCAACTTTGAAGTGGCATTTGGCCTTTTTGCCTTATTCATTTTTGGTAAAATGAGATCAGACTAAAACCATAATGAATTAATAAGGATTACATTGTGTAAAACCACATTGTAACACTTGATTTATATATATATGTATATATATATACACATACATATATGTATATATGTGTGTATATATATATATATATAATTACACCATGTTAAGGTTGTTTAGTTCTAAACCCCTTGGGATCTCGCAGATGGTTTTAAAAAGCATGATGATCTAGTAAGGTAATTTGTAGTTTCTAAATACCTACAGGGAGTAAGGCAAAGGCCTAAAGAGCCAACTCAGTGGAAAACACAGGCTCCAGGCCACCAACACCACTGAATTGCCTGCAATTGCAGACAGCAATCATGCAAAAGTATAAACAGGTGCTGTAATCTGTGAAGGTCAGATGGACTGGTACCTCCTTCAATGTTTCAAAATGACAGCTTACCTTCTGTGGGACCTCTACATTCAGAAACCAACAAACTGGTGATTTCCAATCAACCTGAAGTGGTGTTAATTATACAGAAAGATGAAAGCTGTAGTTTGGTGTAGCTATCACCAAAAAGGAGCACAGAAAAGTGAAATATTCCCTCACCAAAAAGGAGCACAGAAAAGTGAAAGATTCCCTGGACAAGGAGACAAGTGCTTGTATGTTCGTCTACAGTTAGTAAGTCTCAATCATTAATCTTCTACCAAATAATCTTCCTTTAGAAACCAGGCTGTACCTGGAGCTAATCCCTGTAATTTGGGGTCATGATCCTCAGTCTGCATGTTTGTAAACTGGGAGTGAACAGAATTACATAAAGAAAGACCATTAGTTTGAGCCTGGAGTTGAACTGGTGACTTGCTTAGAAGTGAGGATGCTTCCACGATTAACCACCTTTTTTTATATTCAGACAGAGGTTTCGGTTTACACCATCCTCAACCTACAGCGTTGCGCTGTTACATCTCCCTACGTTTAAATTCATTAAGAAAGAATTGTTCGGTCATTCCAATGAGGAAGACGTCTATGTTTACATTCACTGGTGGTACATTGCTGCATTTTGCCCTTTATTATGGCTCACAAGCATGGTGACCAAATTGTAGAGGACAATAAAGAATTTAACAGTACACTTTTTGTGCCTTGTCTTCGTTAGTGTTTGCTCTGGCTAACCCCATGTAAAAGCAATAGTTTAATATCCGATAGGTTTTCCTACATATTTCGTAATATGTAATAAGCAGGTGTAATTAAGTTCTGACGTAATAAAAATCGAGTTACGTTGCCACTAGGAAACTAACCCTGACATCTAGGACACCCTGTATTAATATTTCTACAAAAAAAGTTATATTTATTTCATTATTCCTACTCAAAGGTTTATGTCTCACAATGAGTTTTTCTGCAGGCTGTAGGCAAACACATCTGCACAGGACAACATGGCAGGAATCTGCAGTGAAAGCCCACAGTCAACTAGACGGAAGCAGTCCAACTCCACAGGAATGGACGGGCTTGGACACAGAGACAGCAGGTCTGACAACAATATTTTGATGAATTCACATTCCCCAGAATTCTAAATCTTCTTGAACATGTTGTGTAAAATGGTAATTTTCTAATATGTCGATTTTAGTAAATTGGAAATGACTTTTTTTTAACACTTTATTCAGTTTTGAAAAACTAGTCTATTTCAATTAATTGCCATTAGATGTGAGATTACATTTTTTTTTCTCATCTTATTTACGTGTCAATCCATAAAAAATATACAAAGAGCAAATACATTACATGCAAGATTCTCAGTCATCCTGGTCATGGTCACACTGGGTGTGACAAAGAATAATTATTTTTTGTCTTACATTCTACATTCTTCTGTCTCCAGAGCTCATTCTGTTGAAGACGATCCAGAAAGGACGCCATCTTTACAGTCCTGCAAAGACTCGTGTTCATGTCCTCAGGCGGTGGTCAGGTGAATCGCTGTGTTACGTTTGAAAGATTTTATTGCAATCTTCTAACAATACTGTGAATACACACGAGTATAAATGATCATTTACACATAACATAATTGATATGTTGCTACATATACTAAGCAAGCGCTCCACGGCCAATTAAAATAACGTCATGGGCTGAATCTGGTCCTTGATATGTTGCTACATATACTAAGCAACGGCCACGGCCAATTAAAATAACATGGTCTGTGTTCTTTGAGTTTGACGTGTGATGTAGAGGCTCAGCATTTTTAGATAATTTCCCAACCTTGGCCTATAGTCATTCATTCCTTTTGCCTGTAATTAACCTTATGCTTTTATAACTTCCCCAGACCCTCTTACTTGCACATGCTGCGAAAATGGGCGTCTCACAGAATTAACCCCCAGGTAGACCGGTACGATTCCTTCCTGGATCGCCTCAGAGGTCCTGAGCTTAGAGATGCCACCAGTGAAGAGAGCGACCGATCTGTCGTGAACAACGACACACTTCACAGGCAAAAGTAAGCATTGTACAGGCTGGCAAGGTGAAATCCTTCAGAGCAATGGCAATACACATTGATCATGGTAAATGATGTACTTAGAGTAAAATAGCAACAATAATTTCTAAAGAGTTTGTTGCGTTGCCTATGTTTTCCTGAAGCCTGTCTAGTAAGTGGCCATTTGCCTCTTACAACCAAAACAACTGCAACAACACGGACAAGTAAGTTTCCAACGTAGCGGTGAATTATTAGAAAACAAGATTGTTGTGGCTGCTGTGCTAATGATTATTAGCATTTAGGCAATGTTTGTAGTCACTAATATTAACCAGTAGTGCAATAATTAGTGAAGAGAATACACCCTTTCCCCAAAGTTTCCATTTCCATCTAAATAAAAAAACATTGTTGCAAGACATGGTGGGTAAAGGTATATAGGCTATTTTCTAAAAGAATATTCTGCATACTGTCTCTTCAGGCCTAATGCTGCGTTAACCAAGTGGTTAATTTAATGCAGTTTTCTTTCTTTAGAGCAAAATCACAAATACTTCTTTCCTCATCATTTTTCTATTTACTTTTCAATGTAAAACTACATGTAATTTCATAGAACTGTGTTTATATCAGTGTCCAAATCACCCAACAATTTAATCTCGTATTTCTTGTGCAAAAGAACGATTACGGACCATATAAGGACCTCTTGTCCCGTCTTGTGCTGCCTACACAAGTGCTTCTATAGGCATTAAAAAACATGAATCGTAATGAAATCGAACTTTACAAATATTCCAAGTCACAGTGATCGAAAAGTATTCACTGGTCCTTTAAATATGCATTTATTAAACATGAAACCAGCACTCACTTTGGGTTAAAGGACCACAAATTAAAAGATCACAATGTCTTCGTATGACAGTGTTAAACAAAAAGCAACAAATAAAAAAAAAACAAAAAAAACAATGGGGAAAGTATGGTGGGGGATAAACGGAAAAAAACATTGCAGTGCCATCTAGTGGACTGTTGTGTATTACCTGCACCAGGTTTTGCAACAGCCTAGACTCCCTGGTCCCTGGTAGATCCCAATAAACCCCTTCTTCACACCGCAGTTGAAAGTTAAACTTGTGCTTGATAGCAAAAAAGAAGAAATTAAAAAAGATGAGAAAAAGGAAGAGGAGAAGAAAGATGAAAACAAGAAGGATGACAAGAAGGATGATAAGAAAGATGACAAAAAGGATGACAAAAAGGATGACAAGAAGGATGATAAAAAGGTGGAGCCCCCGTGAGTAAACAGTCAATTAGAGACAGACATATAATCGTGGAATATCACACAAAATCTGTTTTTTTTACATCACAAGTACAACGTTTGACAAACTGAACATTGTGAGTTTTCGTTGTTGTAGAAAGGAAATCTGGATTATGGATCCCGCTGCAGACATTTACTACAAATGGTTGACCATCATCGCAGGCCCGGTGTTCTATAACCTAATAATGATTGTAACAAGGTATTTGTCTCGTCAATTTGCAATAAAACAAAGACCTGATTTAGTGGGATGTTTAGAATGTTCTTCTTCTCTGTTTCAGAGCCTGTTTTAATGAACTCCAAAACAGCTATACAAAACTCTGGATATTCCTGGACTATACCTCAGACTTCATCTACTACACAGACACCTTTGTCAGATCGAGAACAGGTAGAATTCTTCAAAGCAACCAGTCTATAGTAGTATACATCATAGCAGAAATGATGATGGACAATAAAGGCGGTCCTCGGTTTACGATGTCCTTGGTTTACAATGTCCTCAACCTATGGTGTTTCATGATTAAGCCACCATATACAATACATTTATTAAGAAGTCTAGTTCCATCATTCGGACATCAATCCATCCATCCATTTTCATCCGCTTATCCTTTACCGGGTCGCAGGTACCCAAATCACACTGCACTGTACCAACCCCCCTAAACCTTCCTGCGGATGGTGAGTCCACTGGAAGGTACCAACCGCCCTAACCGGGATTCGATCTTGCCCAGGAGGTGAACCTTGGGGTTCCACACCAATGACAGAGACATTGCCTCTGGGCCAAAGCGCCTCATTCTGAAATACATCTTTAAATTAAATTTTGCGCTAGCAGGTGAGCGGTGTGGACGGATATGTCGTCCCAGGGTGCTATACATAGAAGACGGCTTTATTTACATTCACCGATTGTACGTCATACGTTGGATTGTGCTCCATTTGTTTTCTTCCGTTTGTCTTTTTGTTTTTGTTTTGCCCCTTGTTATGGCTCTCAAGCATAAATCAGACTCCTCTTAGATTATGATGGTACCACTGAGTTAGCATAGGTGAGTGAAATTGGTATTTCTGTACAGTATGTGAGCTCCGATTTACAACGAAAGTTGAGTTGCGGCTCACCATAAGTCCATGAATCTTGCAAGAGTGAAGCCACTCAACAAGTTGATGATAAAGAGCCTCTGGAATGAGAGGTAGAACTAAACTAAAAGGTAACTAAAAGGTATTACTAACTAAATATAGTGTGCTAAGCTAACATGTTTTTAACCTGACAACACTCAGATTATGGCAGTTATGCTATGAAACAACCACCTTTGAAAAACCTTTCCTCACAGGTTGATGTCATATGACTTGGTGTTTAATTGTTTGTTTGTCTCTCAGGTTACCTGGAACAAGGTCTGCTGGTAAAAGACGCTAAGAAACTGAGAGACAAATACAGGACGACATCTCAGTTCAAGTATGATATGATATCAATGATCCCCACCGATCTCCTCTTTCTAAAATTTGGATTCAACAATCCCGAGTTTAGGTTCAATCGTCTTTGCAAACTAACAAGACTTTTTGAGTTCTTCGAAAGGACTGAAACCCGAACCAGCTTTCCCAACATATTCCGTATAAGTAATCTTGTGCTTTATATCCTTGTCATCATCCACTGGAATGCTTGTATGTTCTTTGCACTTTCAAAAACAATTGGCTTTGGATCGGACACTTGGGTATATCCCAACATCAGCCACCCAGAGCATGGCCGCTTGGCCAGAAAGTACATCTACTCCCTGTACTGGTCAACCCTGACTCTCACCACTATTGGAGAGACGCCTCCACCAGTCAAGGACATTGAATTCCTCTTTGTGATTGCTGACTTCCTTACTGGTGTCTTGATCTTCGCTAGTATTGTCGGTAATGTCGGTGCCATGATCTCTAACATGAACGCGTCTCGAGCTGAGTTCCAGGCCAAGATCGACTCGATTAAGCAGTACATGCAATTTCGAAAAGTGACCAAAGATCTGGAGGCTAGGGTCATTAAGTGGTTTGACTACCTTTGGACTGAGAAGAAGACCTGTGATGAGAAGGAAGTGTTAAAGCACCTGCCCGACAAACTCAAGGCTGAGATTGCCATCAACGTCCATCTCGATACGTTAAAAAAGGTGCGCATTTTCCAGGACTGTGAAGCTGGTCTCCTTATCGAGTTGGTGCTCAAGCTGCAGCCACAGGTGTTCAGTCCCGGTGATTACATCTGTAAGAAGGGGGACATTGGCAGGGAGATGTATATAATCAAGGAGGGGAAGCTAGCTGTGGTGGCTGATGACGGTGTCACACAGTTTGTGGTACTTAGCGATGGGGCGTATTTTGGGGAAATTAGCATCTTGGGAATCAAGGGCAGTAAGGCTGGTAACAGGAGAACCGCCAACATTAGAAGTGTAGGTTACTCGGACCTCTTTGCACTTTCCAAAGATGACCTGATGGAGTCGCTCACGGAGTATCCAGACGCTAAGAAGGCTTTGGAAGAGAAGGGGAAAGCCATCTTAATGAAAGACAACCTCATTGATGAGGCAGTCGCCAATGCTGGCGCCGACCCCAAGGACCTGGACGAGAAAATAGTCAAACTCCAGAACAACCTCGACACAATGCAAACCAAGTTTGCCCAGTTACTGGCACAGTTCACTTCAAGCCAGACCAGAATGAAGCAGAGGGTCAGTGCAATGGAGTCCAAAGTGAAGTCCATACAGCCAGAGGAGCTGGAAGAAGTGGTGGCTGACAAAGACAAAAAAGTTCAGTGAGTACGGCTTATTTGTCACGACTGCCAGGAAAAAGTATAGCGATTTTTAGTTCTAAATAGTACAGCGTCACTTTTTCTCAAGTTGCGATCATTGGTATGTGTGTTAAGTTCATCCTAATGTTCAGTACACTGCGAGTGCAGCAAGTGCAGTGCAGTACATATACATGCGTGGGTGATAATATTTCTAATTTAAATAAGGGTTTTTATAATCAACAAATGCTTAGAGACATTGATTATGGTTCCTAATCAAACATGATATTGAACACATTTGTATACTTCCATGTCAGTATACATTTAACACTCTGAACCTGTAATGGAAGAATATCATGTTTATGAGTGTACATTGTCAATTGTACCTACTTGTTATTGTGAAATATTATTAAAATGCTATATTACGCTTTGAAATTAATATATTTATTCGTTTGCTAAACCTCCTTAAATCACTTAAAGTAGCACATAACTAAACGTGCTGGTTTGTTGACCGGAAATATCATAGTTAAAATAAATTAAATTAAATAAAATTAGAACTTACTTGCAGGCACTGGAACTATGGGAACTACGAATGTGAGCTGCAGCTCTTAGTATAAGCTCTATTTAGGTTTTTATCATAAAAAAGTCTGAATTAAAGTCGTGGCGTTGTTTATGTAAAATAAAGTAATTGTTGGTATGAACATTAAATAAGCAAAAAGCTAGAAAACTCGTGGCGTTGTTTATGTAAAATAAAGTTATTATTGGTATAAACCTTAAATAGAAGGTTAGAAAAAAGCTAGAAAATGCAAGTTAAAACAAGAAAGAACGTTGAAAATCTTCTGGTTTGAAAGTAATACCTTTTTGGCCTTGATCCTCGTCAGGATTAGTGAAATCCACTTACTGTAGCTCAAATGGCTTGTTAAGGTCACGGAGGACGATATGAAGAATTGTAACAACGGCACAGACATATTTTTGTTTTAAACTTTCATACTCGGATCAGGGACGGCTGGGATTGGCTGAAATCTGTCAGTATAACTGGTACCTACAATCACCTAAATAACCCTCGAAATCTACTAATAGCGTCACTGTGTATATATATTAAGTCAAGTAGACTTAATATATATACACATATATTAATATACACTCATATAGACACACATATAAACAGTGCATACAGTATATGCACTGTTTATATATTTATATGTATGTGTCATAATGTGCTAGAAATGAGGAGGATAACTTTTATGGTTCAATACATACTGTATATTTTTTTATTTTGCAAAATGACTGATCCACATAGTTTACACATGTTCAGCGCATTATTTATGTACCTGAGATATTAGCCAAACAACACAGTCTACTGAATTCATACAGGCATTGCACATTTGTAAAACTGCACACACTGCTGTGCAGGGAACGGCACTTCAAATGCACACAACGCACCGTTAAACACCAAACCTTGACAGGATGTGAAAGTCTGACTTGCAGAATCAGTCAACACATTCTGAAACCTGAGGCCAAAAACCTCAGCTCAGATTTACTGTTTCACAACACGCAAGGTATTTGTTTCAAAAACAAAACGAAAACACGCACCCGGACAAAGATATACTTTAAAATAGGCTTCGAGTGAGACGGCGCTCACACTGGCAGCAAAGTGTATCCGAGAGGCTACTTGGCTCAGTTGTAGGTAAAAAAAAAGAAAAAGACTTTTCCTGATGTTACCAAACTGGTAATCATAAATAATGAGCACCATTATCCACTCATATTGTTAGGTCGTCTCTGAGGACTAATTCGAAGTACTTCACTTAAAACAGACAATTAAAAAAAACATGCTGGCATTACCTAAAATATCGTAGGTAAGTGCACTTCAGCGTTTTGTAAAAGCTTTGTTAAAACCCTTGAATCCGAAGGGATGCTGCATTATTACATGGCACCTTAACAAGTTAGGCCCAGGATTACTGTACTGTCAAAGACAAAAACACAAAAAATACTTTAATTCTCTTGCAAAGCTCCCTTTGTTTACTAAGATGCAGTAAGAAATCTGTCACAGCATCCCAAAGCCTTTGGCGTAAGTGATGGCCTTGAGGAGTCTTTCTTTCAGTTTTTCTTTGGAGGCGTATTCTGGGAGCAGCAGTGCATTAAAGCAGGTGTGGGAGGTTGGAAGCCTGCGAAAGAAATCAAAACAAGGAGGTAGAAAAAATGATTATTGAAAACATGACGGCAGCTGAGGATGACGGACGGGCTGTCAAACTCAATTTGGTTCACGGGCCGCATGCAACCTAATTAGCTGTCAAGTGGGCCGGACCGGCACAATCATAACATTATTAACTATGAATAGCAATAAGTCCATGTTATGGGCCGGACCGGCACAATCATAACATAGCATAATCATAACACTATGAATAGCAATAAGTCCATGTTATTCCACTTGTAAAGAAGTACAAATATATTATTTATTATTATTTATTCATATTTAATGAAATTTTACAAAAAATATCCTGAACATGAAGTATTTGTGTATTTTTTTTTATTTTTCAAAATTCATCAAGTGGGCTGGATTGAACGGCATAGCGCACCAGTTTTGGCCCCCCGGCCGTATGTTGGTCACCCGTGAGGTAGAAGAAAGCAATGCCAAACTCTGGGTAATCTTGTTGCACTAAGCAAGAATGTGATACATGTTTATAGTTTAGGGGAAAGTTCTGTTCTCTTAAAGTAAGTATTTTTATTTTGTTTTACCATGAGCAGCCTTACTGGAAGACTCTAGGTTAGAATTCCAACTACATTTGACGTTGCATACTGAAACAAAATGTATCAACAAACTGTAAGATACCTGTTAGATACCTGTACCTGAGTTACATCTCCTTAACCCGCTGTTTCCTAACCACGGCGAACATTAGTGAGTTGTGAGAGATCAACAAATGTACCGCGGAAGATAATCCAATTTTGCTTAAAAAATGGTCTGAAAACTTGTTCGCTGCAAATGATTTAGCTATGTTTGTCTATGCTACTGTGACAGGCAGAACCAAAAAATAATCTTCCACTAGGTGGCAGGGTATGGCTATAACAACAAGAGAGACTCAGCATTGTTGACAATCTCTATGTGTCTTTCTTCAATTCCTGCAAACACATTAGCGTTGTGTTCAACTAAATAAGTTAAAACAAGGAGAGCATTTTATTTTATTACATATTCTTGAGGTAACATTTTCATTTGGTGATTTTTGTCATGGTCAAACATGTGCCCTTTGGGGGACATTGACAAATGTCCTGAACTGGTCTCTGTGCAAAGAGTTAGCATTACTACGGCACCGTTTTTTCCCCTCACCTGTCTGTGTCAGAGCCGTTTTTAGTGATAATCATCTTCAGTTTGCCGAGTCCACCGACTGGGGCTCTGTCTGTGCCAGTGGTAAACTGAAGGAACAACCTCTTCTGCTCCTCTCCAAATGAGTGAACGATTTCCCAGAAGTATCTGTCAATGTGCAAAATGCAGGATTTTAAAATGTATCATGAATTGTACACGTACACCACGGTCAATGATATGATATGTTGTAACTGCTGCAGCGTGATTTAATGGAATAATCTCACTTTATGATTTCACTCTCTCTGCTGTAGCCTCCGTCGTATTCTGTCGCTTTCTCCAGGGCTTCAAAGTCGAGTTTCTGTCACATAAGACGGAAATGCTGGTTTAAGTCATGAAACTGGGGGGAGGGAGAGAGGGATAAATCTAGAAATAGAGAACGTCTCTCACCCTGCTTCCACAAATGAGGAGTTCTACTTCCTCAGGTCTAAACAAATACTTGAGTGGAGACTCATTGGTGACCATTTGAAATCCTTTCTTGAAAGCTTTGAACTGTCTTTCCACGCTCTTGTTCAGTATGTATTCAGTATACAGATCCACAAACTCCTGTGAATTACACACACAAACACATTGGTGGATGAAATTCTATCACGTGTGACAAAATAACCACACACACCTCTGCATATATATATATATATATATATATATATATTAGCAGACTAAACATTGACTTTAATGTGTGTTTCAAAAAAATCTTCCTTGCTCTCTGTTTTGTACTTTTTACTTGCTACTATTACACACTGCAGCTATTTCGCAACTTTTTCTTGTCCCATATGATACTACTAAGTTGGAGTACCTGCCAATACTCAATGTCGATACAGATGTCAATCCAATACCTGGTGATAGTGTCCCTATTTGCAGCATGTTGCTCAAAGTTAAATGGAGATATAGTTGTGTTTTTTTTCAGTGTTCAATTCTTTAACTTTGACCAATATCAGACCGATGTCGTTCGAGTCCAAGTGTTGGCTCGAGCCCACCCTAGTAGTTACATTGGCTTCTTTAATGAAAGAATTGCTTGCAAACACACCTGTCTGTTCTCATTAGTAACAGGGATCTGGTCGCCCTCCTCCTTCAGGTCATACAGTACTGGATTTCCAAAGAGGTCTGTTTGCGATATCTGAAAAGTTAGCGCCATGTCTTCCTCCACGTTATCTGTATAGTCAAGCAGTTGCTTCAGACTTTGGTGGAGAACCTGAAACGGAAAATAAAACGCTCAATGTATGCAACAGCATTAAACAAACAAAGAAATATAAAAACATTTTAAGAACTTTTTAAGCTTACTTAATTTCTTGATGGCACCACGGAAGGATTAATAATCTATCTATCTATCTAGCTATCGATCTATCCATCCGTTAGTCTATCTATCCAGCTAGCTAAACAACTATTTTTTAGTCACAAAAAGTATGTTATGACCTGAGGAAACGGACAGCTACCAGAATTCCACCAAGATAGAATCAGTTCTTCCATAGAAGGAAGACGTTTTAAGACTCGTGCAGACTGAAGGAAATAGCTTTGATATTTTAAAGTAAAGATTCTTTTTCAAATTTTCTTAGGACTTCCCCTCACATACAGTTTTTTAACTACTTTGTTTGATAGAACAGATTTAAAAAAAAAAAAATATATATATATATACTGGATGTGAGTCGGACAGGTCCAAGAAGGTCCCTTTCTTTCCCATTAGTTTCCTGTAGACCACCATTGGGAAGTGGACATCCAGGATGCAGTTGTTGTAAATGGCCAGTCCCATGACAATGCCTACAAGAGTGTACTGTGCTTCGTTCTCAAGTGAAGAGGAGTTAAACCAGAAGAGCTTTGTGTCTTTGTCATAGGTGAACATTCCTGTATGAAAAAAGACAAAGAGAAAAGTTGGAAAAGTCAGTTTGTAAGAGCATTGATCCTCACAATCCTCACAAGTGTCCCAGTCTATGTTATCTTTCTATCTTTAAGTCAAATTCCGACACTGTAAATCCACTCTTTCAACCGTCTCACCTATATCAAGATTGAAAATCTCCTCCAGCACCAACAGAAAAAACTCTTTCGACACCCCTCCCTCATCTACTCCTTGCTCCCCCTCAAATTCGACAAACAGCTGCTTCTTGAGGTCAGAAGGGTTCTCCATGCAGATCATCTCCAGCTTTAACACAAAGAAAAACAGTTGAACTTATTAAACTGAGCTCCCATTAATAAAAAAAAGTTGTATTTGCCAGTATTTAGGGGCTATACACTGGCAAGCCAATTCTAGTACACATTTGATATGATCTTGCGGGCCAAATATAATTACACTGCGGACCAGATTTGGCCCCAGGGCCTGAGTTTGACACATGCGTTATAGATGAAGTCTCGCTCCCATTGTCCTTTGAACCAATCCAACCTTGGCTATTTTTCCTTTTGAATATCAAAAAGTAATTCTTCATCGGTTTTTAAATTAATTTTGACAAACAAATCAAAGTGACATTTCACTTGGACTTCGCAAATAATAATATGTGTCATAATGTGCCAGAAATAATAATAGAGTCTAAAAGATCTATTTTCTAACTGAATCCATGAACTGAGTAAAAGAATAGGAGTCAGTGAGTAATAGTTTTAAGTAGGGGTGTGCGATAATATCAGCCAATGGATATTATCGGCCCGATATTAGCACAACATCTGTAAGAATTGTTAGCGTTTTTTTCTCCTACAATGAAAACCCGATAACCCAATGCCTAGGTTTCGTTAAATGACAGTGAAAGTCACAAGATGGCAGCATCCAGTCAGCAACTCATACAGTTGTTTGTACAGATAAATCAATAAATATTACCAGGCCTATATTGGTATCGGTTGATATCGGAATCGGAAATTAAGTGTTTGGACGATATCGGCATATCTGCAAAAAGTTCATATCGGACATACCTAGTTTTAAATGATTGTGACTTCAAAGTTAATATCGGACATCTCTAGTTTTTATGATTGTGACTTCCATGTGGTGTGTCAACTCACCCGTACAAGGGCGTCATCAATAATGTGATCTCTTCGAACTTTGAGTTTCAGGTAGGGGTTGGGCTGTTGGCCCTGAACCATGCTGTACAGGGCAGTGAGGCGTCGCTCGCTGTACATTCTGATCCTATTATCGTAGTAAAGTCCTTGATTCTTTGTGATGACGCTGAGAATGAATGGGCAGCTCTGAAAAGAAAACTTACTTTCAGCATTGACCTTGAAGAAGGTGAAGTCTTTGTCCATCTCCACTACATCATTTATTGACTCGTTAACGAAATCCTCAAAGGGAATCAGAGGTTTAATACAATCTATAGTCCGGACTCCCAGTTCTTTTTCCAGGGGATCAAGCAGAGGACGCTTCTTATAGAGCCTATCCTCACCTAGCAGTTCGTGTAGAGAGAGCTCATCCAAGTCTTCGTCTTCATCACCCTCCTCCTCGTTGTGCTCCGTGTCCACTTCACCGCCCAGGATACTTGCGTAAAACACGACTTTTAAACACTGGGTGGCAGTCACCACGGTCTCATCTTCGTTCACCAGATTTTCAGCGTCATATTCGTTACTCAAAATTGTGAATGTGATGACCTGCTGGAAGGTCTCCATTATACGCCTGATGTGTTCTAAACCGTACACTGACCAAAGCCTTGCCAGTCTTGCAAGTGCAGCCACAGGCAGTTTGCTCATCGCCTTGCAGAACTGCGGCAATGCCACTTCAAGGTACTCGGGACTGTGAAGGTTGCTGTTCTCCATCACAATGAGGAAAATGTTTAAATAATCTGGATTCGCTTCATACACATCCAGGTAATCCAGGTCAAGCTCCATATTTGGTGTGAGGAACACAAGTGCGTTCACAAGAGCAGTTTGAGCCTGGTCGTTAGTTAAAAGTCTGTCGTAGACCCTCCTCACGGACTCGAGGTCTATATTGAGGTCGCAGAGGTCAAACTTGTTAAACTCATCCGGTAGAGCGGCCGCGTCAACAGGGGCAGCACCCGTACTCTCCAGTTGGGGTGCAGTCTGGTCTGTTGTTTCATTGGCTGAACTTGGTTCATTCTTTCTAAAACTCTTCATCAAAGAATCTGCACTTGAAAAGACTCTGCCAATGACACGGACCAGGGCAGAGTAGTCGCCTTGCTCCTCACAGAAACTCAGAATCATACACACAGAGTTCTCTGTGAGATAATGAACATCTGCAACAGAACAGTGACTGAATTAAACCATTAAAAGAATAATAAACAAAAACAGGCTGGAAAGCAATCAAATTGGGTCTCGCAGTACCTGAGAACACCTCTTCGGAGGAAGACGGGTCCATATCGCTCATGTTTTCAGCCTCGGAGGTGTCAGATTCTTTCTTGGGGGGATGAGGACAGAGTTTGGCATTAATCTTAAACAACTCAAGCGCTTTGGCGGCTGCTGAATTACTATCCAAAGGTCGAAAGTCATGACATGAAGCGCAAAACTTGTTCGTGCAGTTGCCATATCCGCAGCCCTCGGTTAACTGCCGAAAGTAGCGCTCAATGAGAAGCTTTGCCGTGGTTCTGTTCCTGTGTACAACAGTCCAACAGAAGCCCGGTTACAATGAACCCATCACATGTTTACCAAGCACTGAATTAGTTCTGCTGCCAAACCAGAGTACATGAGTTCTACGATGCAGCGACTTACATTCGTCTGGATTAACGTGTCCTCCTGCAGCACCAAAAAGAAGCTCCTCTGAAGAAAAAGGGGTTTTATGATGATATTTGTTAAGTCTACAATACAGTCACAATAGTCTTCTAATGGGTCCTGTGCACAATTGAGACACTGAACATCTGATTAAGCCCAGGAGTCGGTAAAATGAACTCACTTGATCTAAAACTGAGGAGATCAGGGCAGTAGTTTAAAAGTGAAAATAAAAATATATACTGATTTTTCTTTTTATCAGGGCACAAAGCATTAACAAACAAACAGCGTATAAACAGAGCCTCAAGATGACGATAACTCAAGACTAGTGCTTTTGAGGCAGTGTAAATAACACCTATATGAATTTACTCTTCACCACAGCAATGCAAAAAACTCTACCTCTTCACCACAGCAATGCAAAAAACTCCACTTCCTAGCATTTCTCACATCTGCAAAATCATAACGATGGCTGTCTCAGCATAACGTTTTAGTTTTAAACTAACCATCAATAAGAGGCACTGATAAACTGCACTGCTTACATCTTGAAGACCTATTTTAATCATTTATCATGCTTTTGATTTTTGTTTTTGTAAAGATCATACTGATGAATTTTCCTGATTAGCCAACACACTGACACATCCATTAGTAAACTGAAACAATTCATTAACATTTAAAAACCTAATGTTACAACGTACACTACACAAACAAGTTAACAGTTGATTTATCTGGATTAATCTAGGTTATGACGTCCAGTATTAATCATAGGTGTGTGGTTGAAGCGTGGTAGTTCAAGCTACAATAAAATGTAAATATACTTCCGAACCAATAATTTTGTTTAATTCATTCAAATATGGACGGATTAACTATTGTTTGATGAAACGTGTTAAAAGTATACAAGTTAATGATAAGACGTTACACTAAAGATGCTTTTTAGACTCGAATTTATTCATCTATTACAGCTGATAACAGAACTAACATGATCAAAAAGATAGACAGATAGAAACTTTATTTATATATTTAAACCAAACTTAAACCAGACAGGTTGTTTGGTTTACATACGATATAAAAGCGATGCCAAGATTTACCAACATTGCAGGACCAACTTGATATCATTCCACTCTACTATAACATTTACAAAGGTGAAGCAGTTTAAATAATAATCGAAAATTCCACATTTAACGTGCAGTTAGAGTAGTGACACGTGATTTTCTTAATTAGCTTTCACTGACATGCGAATATTATTCAAACACCATGCAGTGGCGACAGACCTGTGATTCGAAGTAAAGTCGTGTCTGTCAGTGACGGTGCAAAAACAGGAACTCACTCTCTTCTTTCACCTTGTCAATGGCAGTTTCCACTCTCTAACGCTCTCGTTTCAAGCAAAGACTTTCTAACACACTGTTAAAATTACTGTAAAGTCAGAACAAAAACGGGACACAAGATTTACTTTAAAAGTCGCAGATATGTTGCCCCCTGTGCCGTCTTGTAAACAACGACGCCATTTTTCCCGGCATGCAGTGCACATGGGTTCTGTCAAACGTCAAGTCATCAGCCCGGTCCTATGTATCATGGCCTCGCTCGCTTTCCGTAGAACAGAAATGATACATATTAAAAAATAAGCTCACAACTAACAAAAATGTTAACCTATACTGTATTTCAAAGTTTCACAATTTTAAACGAAGCTCAAAGTTTTCATCCCATATATCTCTCGTGTGAAATAATTGCGAAAGATAATTCGGTCATTCAAGGGAAAATAATGACATTATTGCTTGTTGTATGAAGGAATCTGGTTTTTAATTGTGCTCAAAATAATATTATCATCTAACTATCTTATAGTCTTAGTTTTTGTGGAATTTTAGATTGTATTGTATACAATTTGCTGATTTATTCAAAGATTTGTTCAGTATAAAATAAAAGTGCAAAATACTGTGCAAAGTTGAGACGTATAAAAGTGCAAAATACTGTGCAAAGTTTAGACAACACACACTTTGGTTTATAAAGCAATCGAACTCCTTCATTAGTAGCAATAAACACAAATAAATACATTGGGATAGAAAAAATATACATCAATAAAATTTAACCACTATTAGTTTGATCATAGTAAACTTTACCGTTAAGTATTTTTACTAAGTAATGCGTTTTTGAGATATGTAAGTCAGGAAATGGTTAAAACTAACAACTCCACATTGTTGCACGCATAATACGTCATGCGCATGACCCAATCATCCGTAAAATAAACATTGGCCTGCTTCAGTGATTGGTGGTAGCCGAAGATTTCGTAAGCGTAGGCACTGACACTTAAACTCATGTACTTGTATTTAAACGAGTGCTACCATATGAGTATTCCGTGTGGTCGCATGTATCCTGATGTAATCTGTCAAAAAAGCAAAACGACTACAATTGAAGGCACTCACATGATAAGTTAGCAGCAACTCGGAATTATATATATACAGTGATTCTGCAACATGCACTAATCCAGCGCAAAATTGAAAACTGCACTGAAAACTTGGAGCATATCAAAGCCAGGAAGTAATCGAAGGTGGATGAAAGTAAAAGTTCAGTTGACTACGTCAAAAACTATGAAAACGATGAAGCAGTCTTTTCATTTTCTAAACAACTGAACATTAAATTAGTCAATCAGCTTTTGAACATTTTTTGTGATACAATTTCAGATTTTCTTAATATGCCCTTTTTCGTTTCTGTCATGTAAAGCAACACTGGATAAAACGTCTTAAGTTGGTGAATTCAAATTGTTACAACTAAAGTAGATGTCCTTGAACGCACCTTGGCTGTGCCACAGTAACTATAGAAACAATAGCTTATATAAGCAAACGAAAAACAGTTTATCATGTAGCTTCCCATAGTTTATTCCAATGGTAAGTTAAAAAAATATAGTATTTTCTTATTTTAGTCATTATTATTACTACTGTAGGTTGTGGCAGGTCCCTCACAGATATCGAAATTAATTTAACGGATTGTGATACTTGCTAAGCTAAGTATCAGTATAACCACGAAATAGCACTGTCGCCAAGTTGAATATAAGTTTCTTTTGGTAATTCTTTGCTGACTTGGTGACTAAGGTCAAGAATAATTCACGCTATCTGAAGTAAATTAATTATGTAAGTAACGTAAGTATTCTGTTGCAGCTTCGCAGCAGCAACAACTGTTAGCATCAAACGACATAGTGCTACACGTCGACGGTTGGCTGAACTCTTATTAAGTTTTTAAAAAAATGCAAGTTAGTATGTCGGTTTTGCGCGTATTATATCTGTATACTAATTTTTCTGTTTTGCTGTTTTTGCGGCGCAGTTTACTGTGCAATAAGCAGTTGCTAAGAGAAGCAGGTGGATGAGGCTACGGAAATTAATTGTTTCCTAATTGATGATATGCCTTACACAGTAAAGAAGAATTGGAAGACGGGACCTCACTGTCGAAACATGTCAAAGGTAAAACTATACCTGAATTGTCTGATAATAAGAAACGTGAAGCATATAGTATCTGTATCAAGGCAAGTCATGCATTTGTTTTATTTGTATTGCCTAAAACACATATCAGTGAACTTAACAGTTGTAAAATTTGAATTAAATTCAAACTATTCTTAAACGAATGTCAGAAAAAAATGTGAGAAACGTGTATACAGTCAAAGTTATAGTGAGTTTATGTTTACAATACCAAGTAAAGCAGAAAAAAACTTTACACAAAACCCCAGGGTGTATTACTGATGTTCAAGATATACTATTCCTACATTATTTTCCTCAACCAAGGACTTCCAAAATAGAGTTGCAGTTGCAAATACGATTAAACCATACTTACAAAAACAAACACAAAAAAACTGATTGTTGTGCATCTGTCTTTGTCTTGTTAATTTCTCTTTTTTTCCCCCTCTCTAAGGAGGAACGCTTTGCCTTTCTCACTGAGTGGTATGATTCCACTGCTGCTCTCCAGCGGCGTTACCAGCTCATGTACTATCCCAAAGATGGCTCCGTAGAAATGGTAGATATCTCCTGGCGCAGGGTCCCTGCATCCCTTAGTTTTTTGTAGCTCATTTCAAAGACATAGTTACATATTTCACAGAAGGTTGTCAGGCATTACTTAATTCAAATAGGACTACTAACACTAGAAATAAACCTTTTTTCAGAAGTGACTGGGCATAACCCTCTGTGAAATAATCTTGGGTTTTTAGAGCAAAGCATGTTTTGGGTGACCAGTGTAAGAACTAATATGTTTTTCATTTATGTCATTCCTAGTTTGACGTAAAGAACCAGCGGACATTTTTGAGAAGGACAGTATATGATGATATCCAACAGGATGACCTGTTCCTCGGAAATCGTGTGACCGTGTTTTCGCGGCAGCTTCATCTTATCGAATACGCAGACCAGTACACAGCAAACAAATTGGGAATCAAAAAAGAGAGGTGTGATTGGTTACAATATCTCAGAAGTTAGTGTAATGCTGGGCGACCTAGAAGACATTTATTTGACTTTGGTTGTTTGGATGTCTGATTTAATTTGTAATATCTGTAATATCTGTAATATGATTTTCTTCATCTTTAATTTGTATTTATCATCCTATATTGTCTTTTTACGCCTTTGTTTTTCAGAACTCTCGCTATACTCAAGCCAGATGTAGTGACCAAGATCGGAGATTTTCTTGAACTGATTTACTCCTCCAACCTCATAGTGACCAAAGCCAAGATGTCGTGTCTTACATGGTAAGGATTTCTATGTGAAAGGGAGAAATACATTACAGATGTATTTCCCAAACAAGTTAAAGTTAAAGAACTCCTGCAACCAGTTAATTGAATTGTCTGAACTATTTTCAAAATAAAATCAGTTAATTTCATTGTTAATGTTACCCTGTGACGTAAAATCAGTTAATTTCATTGTTAATGTAATCAATTATTTAAAATTGTAATCAATTACACCCCTAGTACAAAGTTGTCCAAATTAAGTTTGCCATTTTCTTGCGTTGCATTGCATCAATTGCATTCTCAGTTAACGTCGCTAGATGGCGAGAGACAAACTTTACCGATTGATAATGGCCTTTTTCCTCTACCTCAGAGATCCCTAGCTAATAGCACTATTCCCACACCATTCGCATTTCTTTTCAAATTTCGGTTTGCTCTTGTGAATTTATTCATCATAGTTCACGCAAACATTTTTCAATCATCTGATACAGTGAAAACTCTCTCCTCTTCAGCCTCCCTTTCAAATCCCTCTATGAGCTTCAAACGGTCCAGAATTCAGCCCTGTACTTCAGCAACTCCACTGGCTTCTAGTTAAATCCATGCATCCATTTTAAAATCCACCCTCATCTGTCAGATCTCCTCCATATTGTCACCTCCTCCCGATCCCTTAGCTCCTCCTCCATACACCCCACCGTGCCCTCTGCCAGCCTCAGCATCATGGGGAGCAGCTGCTCTGCTTTCTTTTTTTTGTTTTGTTTTTATCTTTGTGAAGTGAGCTTGGGCGTCCTGAAAGGCATTTATAAAAAATAAAAAAATATTATTATTATTAATTTTTAAAACTCATTTACTCAGTGTGGAAAATAAATTGCCCACCCCTGGTCTATAATGTTAATGCTTGTTAGTTTACCCATGTATGCATACTAACTGATTTAAATGAAGAGTCTCTGCTCTTACTATGGATTAAATCTCAGTTCTTCATTACGACATTTATTGATTTTGCTTTATTTCAAACATAAACAGGAAATGGAGTAGCAGGGTACTGGAACTGCAATGACCTTTAGTCAAAACCTCGGGCCAAAATCGTCTTGTCTTTAAATGATTGAATTATAATAATATTATTAAATTAACTCTGAACTGCAGCAACTTCTATGCCAAATTATATTATTCAGAGTTAGATTCTTTCTTACAGTGAAATGTTAAAATAAAGATTGACTTTTTCAAATGGGAATTCAAATGAACAAAGGTCACAGTTAGACTTATAATGACATAAGATTATTTACCTATTCTTTCAAATGGGAATTCAAATGAACAAAGTTCACAGTTAGACTTATAATGATGACATAAGATTATTTACCTATTTATACATTTCTTGTTTTTCCAGTAACCAGGCAGCAGACTTTTATGCGGAACATCAGTCAAAGCCTTTTTTCAAGTGAGTGACCAATTTAGACATTATCGTGACATTTATTGCGGCTTTCCTAATGCTACTTTTTTTTTCTCCCTTTAAATGAATGCAGTAACCTTGTGCAGTATGTGTCCTCGGGGCCTCTGGTTGCCATGGAGCTGATGGGTACTGATGCCGTATCTGCCTGGAGAAGACTTCTGGGACCCACAGACTCACCCACACGGCGAGAGTCACCACAAAACGTTCGTTCCCAGATGGGAGCAGAAGGAATCAAAAATGTGGGCCATGGCTCTGATTCGCTCGCTGCAGCAGCAAGAGTGAGAATGTGAATATTTTTCATCTTGCTCATGCTCATGTGTTCTCAGATGTTCCCAACTCAGTGTTATTTTTTTCTTTAATAGGAGCTGGAATTCTTTTTCCCATCCACAGTTGGACTTGGTCCTGGTAACACAGCACGCTGTACAGACTGCACATGCTGCATCATTAAACCTCATGCAATGTCAGAAGGTAAGAAGCACATAAAGCAGAGGTGGGCAAACTTTTTAGCTCATGGGCCAAAATGAGGTTTAGAATTTAACTGGCTGTTCAGTTTTCGGTGGATTTAGAAGGCTGGGCAAAATAATTTAAATATAATATACATGAAAAAACTTCAGCTTTCAAATATCATTTTGCATGCCCCCTGGTGCCGTCAACAGAAATTACAGGGAATTGTTGTATTGCATGAAACAGAAGGATTGACAGCATTGATCAGTCTTGCCATACCTTGTACCAGTGTTTGGTGGACTGAATTGCCGTAGTTTACCCTGGTCTGATATAAGGTATATACCTAAAAGCTCTGAAGTTGTTATATGACAAATATGATTCACCCTCGCTAGTAAATTTATAGGGATTTACTAGCTGAAAATCCATGTAGAGATTGCAAAAGAGAATAGAATCTATAATCTTAAAGTATGCATGTTTTCTTAGATCAAATCTTAACTGGGTTCCCTGGCCTTAAATAGTAATAAATAAGAGGAAAGAATGGTGCACTCCACTTGTAGAAAAACATCCATGCACCCAACCCTCCATCCATCCATCCATACATCCATCCATCCTCATCCACCTTACATGGAAACATACCGTACTTGCTAACTAAAAAAAAGTTTATAACCACCTCACTAGGTTGAATACACTTTGTTTGTTTTTTATTAACAGTGACAGTTATAATGAAAATAACAAGAGTGCCTAATTTGTTCAGTCGATTCGTTAGCGTTTTTGTCCACACGTAGGCACAACAGGGTAGCTGGAATTTTTCAAAATTCCTGACCTGATCCCTGCTAACGGAAAAATACCTCAAGATCCGTGACCTGTGTAATGCGATGCCTCTAGTGCAGAGAACAAGTGTGCACTCAAAGTTGTTGACCAAACTCGCATCCCGCGAACCTAAAGATACAATTTAACTTCCTGAAAAAATCCTAATGACTAGATGTACGTCCCGGAATATTCATCAGCTTTTAGCCTTAAATCCTAATTTCTCTCCAGCATAGTTAGACGTTTCTTTAGCCTGTTGCTAGGCTTATTGACATGACCTTTCCCCACACCTAAATGGTAAAATACACATTAGAGTGCCCTTCCTGACAAGTTCAAACATTTGTCAAAAACTAAAACTTGACACCTTTTTGCTCCAGTCAGTAATTTATAAGTACATTTTCCAACGCTTACACAAAGTGGAGGTCAAGTCATTTGTTCATTTTCCCATAGTTCTTGCATGCTTTTCATACAGATCAAGGAACTCGCCTGCCATTAACATGACAACAACAAGGCAACTTCCTGGAGATTTTTTTCCCTCTCCAAAACAAAGAACATCTTGTGCTCTGGCATTTTCACAATGGAAAAAAAATGACCAGAAATGTATTCCTTAGTAACTCTGCTGTCATTGATTCATTCAATATCTATTACTTTAGTTTCTCAAATTATGGCACCCGTGTCTGTGTGTAAGGAAACGTGAGGAAATTTCATTTCCCTTAGGATCAGATGGGTCACTAAATGCTGCTGTTAGATAGTCTCACACGTGTGTGTGTGTAGTTTAGGCAGCGTGCCCACACACTGCTCCCCGGGCTCTTATAAGCTGCCCACTGTTCACTTTGGTGATGGGTTAAAAACATGTCATTGTGCGCTGTGTCACAACAACAAGTCGTTCACTTTCCTTCCTTTCCTTTAGCATTGTGCAGCGTTTTATGGTGTGGCTTTGGCTAATCAACAGGCTTCTATAAGGGATAAATGGTCTGCTGAAGGGAAGTCCTGTGCTGCTGTATTTCATTGTTGGTCAAACTAGTGGTACCGGTGTACAAATATTGTATAAGAATGATTGCGTTATGTGATATGTTCTACAGGTGGCTGACCAGATTTGACAGTGTTTAATAGCTAACAACATTAGCTTTTAGCACTTTGGGAATTTGTTCTGATTCTGTTCTGAAAACCTAATTATTGCATGTTGGTCCTATAATACTATATACAAGACATGAATGATGGGGTTGTCATTTTTGTTTTTGTGTTTTGTTTGTTTTGCATTCCTAATATCTCTTTTGAGCAGGACAAGTACGGGGGGTCCTAGGTTTACGATGTCCTCGACCTATGGTGTTTTGTGGTTATTTCACCGTCTCCCATAGTCCTCGACCTATGGTGTTTCGTGGTTATTTCACCGTCTCCCATGCATTTATCAACAAAGTCTTGCGCCATCATTCTGACATTGGCCGTTAAAGCTCACGTAATACATTATCTTGTGGCGCTATACACAGAAGGGGGCTTTGTTTACGTTCGCTGGTTGTACGCCATACATTGGATTGTGCTATATTTGCTGTCTTTTGTTGGTGTTGGGGTTTTTTTTTTGGGACCTTTTTGCCCTTCATTATGACTCCCACGCTTAAGTCAGACTCTTCTGATGGGTTTATGTCCTAGATTATGATGTTACCACTGTGTTAGCATAGGTGAGGGACAGTACATGAGTTCCGACTTAATTTGTAAATTGAGTTACATAACTCCCGGCATAAGGCGAGGAGCCCCTGTATGTCGTTTTCCAACAAGAAAGTCATGAATTATATCAGCGGCCTTGTCTACATTCCCATATGTCCCCAAGAAAGACACCTACGGTCATTTCTTCTGTGTAAATAGTTGTGTTTTCTGTATGAAGTGTAACTGTTATCTCCACATGTTTAAAGCGTTAAAGCAAAAATAAAGGCAAGGGTTGGCTGAGGAAAGTGACCATCCCTCACAAACAGGAGCGGAAGGTCAGACTGCATTTTTCATAATGTTTCAGCTTGGCTACACAGTGATTACCTTCAGACATGAGCAGACACCTGTGGCCTGGTCTAAAAATAGTGTCCTGTTCTGATAGGTTTGTTGAGCTGGCCTCACACTGAACTGATTCAAGTCAAACAGAATCAGACATCTTGCCGCACCATCCCCTTGAGGATCACTTGAGGGGCTTATGCGTGCAGTACCTTCGACAACGCCCAGCAGCCAATCATTATGATGAAAAAGAAAGTCGTGGCCTAAAATTCAATCAGACATGACTAGAATAGAGAAGCTTCTGTTGCCAGGCACCTAGAATAGGATCTCCTAGCAACAGCACCAGCTGCTTTTGGGAGCTGTGTTGAGTGTGAGCCTATCTTGGGCAGACTGCTGGCTGTGGAGGGCACAGAGGACTCAGCAAGGGCTTACACAGATATTCCTGTTACTGGGCTGCAGCTGAATGATTACTCACAGGTCTGTACTGAAAGTCTGGATCAAACGGTCGCCTAAAGAATGTATAACCACCGCAATAGCTATCCATTCTCCTTTCTGTAATGATACATTTATGAAGTCAATGATCACAGTTTCACTTAATGATTCAAATGCATTATTATACTCACTGTAATAAGTGCAATCGTACAACCCAGGGCTGCTAACCCTTGGTGCGGGGACTGGCGCTGGTCCGTAGATCACTTGGTACTGGGCCGCAGTGGAAAAAAATGTACTTCAGTTTTACTAATTATCTTGATTCAAAAAGAATCCAGTCATATCCCTTTAGTTTTTTCATTTAAAGATAATTTGTCAATTGTTTTGAAAATTTATTGATGCCACTCAGCCATTACTGGTCCACAGTAACGGCTAATGCCAGTCGACCGGTCCTTGGTTCAAAAAAGGTTGGAGACTGCTGGTCTAACCCTAATGTGTGTGATATGAATGATGTCATCAGGAGTTTAGAAGAAGAAATTATAGTTTTAAAATTTAAAACTTTATTTAAAAAGCATAAAAATGAATGCATATGAATACATTGTGTCTTGTTTATTAATTTGGTGTATTTTTCTTTACAAATCGTTTTCTTTAAAAAATGGTGAAATGTCAGTGAAAGTCCATTATTAGTCATAGAACTAGAAAAACAGAAAAAAGTTCAAAGGTTCTCTATAAAGCGAACACCAAAGAGAACTTATCCTTACTGTTCCATTTAAAAAGAAATTCAAAAACATTGGTGAAATATTTCTGATTGTTGTTCATGACATTGCTGTTCAACTCTAGTAAATACCTCACTAATTTCATAAGAAGTGTTAATTGTCATTGCAGCCATGCACCGCAGCTGTATCTGACAGTTTAAGATCCGTGCATGGCAACAGTGATGAGAGGCACAACTCCCTATCTGTGGAGTGTGGACCTCCAGACAAAAATAACCTCTATGTTTGTAGGATGTCTGTAAGACAATCTCACCATTCTGTGACCAAACAGATCCAAGGTTGTTGTACCGTGAGATTACGCTGGCGCATTTAAAAGATTCATTTGTGGACGGGACTCAAAGTGCCACTGTAACCACAGAGATAATGAATTCAGTATGACTTGAAGCGTGCCTTATGGCATTAAACGCATGTCAAATGTGGATAATGAAGGTCTGTGTTGTGTCGTTTCCACAGGTCTGGCTGGGAAGATTCTCAACTCCATATCGAAGGCTGGATTTGAAATCACAGCACTTCAAATGGTAAAAATTCTTCACTTAGAGCAACTCAAGCTTATTACCAAGTGGAGATGTCATACTTTTATTTATATAACAATTAATTTGCGGTATTAAGTGCTACATTTAATGTATCGTAACGATTCGGCATTCAGCGCTACGGTTCATTTATCGTAACGTTTCGCTATGAAGCGCAACTGTTCATTTACCGTAATGTTTCGGTATCAAGCGCTACGGTTCATTTATCATTGTTTTGGTATTAAGCCCTATGGTTTATTTATCTCAGTACTTCTCAAATAGTGGGGCGGGACCCCCTGGGGGGGGGCGCAGTGAGGTGCCAGGTGGGGCTTGAGGGGCTTCCAATGGAATACACACACTGTACATAAGTGTACCACTGCTGTAATGCTTGAATGATAACAAGCCTGCAGTCACTAGGTGGCAGCATCTCAACATACAGTGGTTTGTACAGGTAAAAATATACATGTTATCAGGTTCTCGTCAGAGAGGGGGGCGTGAAAACATTTCTGTCCCCAAGGGGGGGCACTACAGAAAATGATTAAGAACCACTGATTTATTGTAACGTTTCCTTAATAGTTTGCCAAATCTATGGCAGCTCAAACAGAACGAAAAACAAAGTTACACAACACCTACATGTTCCCACGTGTTGTTTTGTTTTCCGGTCCGTGGAAGTTGCGAAAGAGAGGCGTAACAAAGAGTTACTGTGTCTATTAAGTCCACTTATTTAGCCACGTGGGATTATTTTGGCTATACTGTAGAAGAAAAATACCACAGTGTCATCGTGGATGACAGCTTGCCAGCATTTGAGGTATGCTACAAAAAATTGCGGTGAAACCAGGAAATACATCCAATATGTTTCTTTACCGGCAGGACAACCAGAGTCGTGAATGGTAAATACGCAGTAATTGGATTAAATGACGTCATTGTCATAAAGTCAATAATCGTAC